TAGCCTGAGGTCCCCCACCCCAGCACTGAGGCTGGGGAGCACACCTTGAGGTCCCCTGTTAAGCCTTGCTGGGTGGTGGGCATGGCCTGAGGTCCCCCAGCCTGGGCTGGGGCAGGGGGCGCACGTTGTTGTCTCCTATCAGGCCCCGCTGGGTGGGGGGCGTGGCCTGAGGTCCCCTGGCCTAGCACTAGGAAGTGGGACCCACCTTAAGATTCCCTGTCAAGCCCCACTAGGAAGGGGGGTACAGCCTCAGGTCCCCTGGCCTGGTGCTGGGCCAGGGGGTGTGGCCTCAGATCCCTTGGCCAGGGGTGAAAGGAGCAGCCTGAGATCCCCCCGCCCAGCACTGAGGCAGGGAGGGCGCACCTTGAGGAACCCTGTCAAGCCTTGCCTGGTGGGGGGCATGGCCTGAGGTCCCCCATCAAGCCCCACCGGGCGGGGTCATGGCCGGAGGTCCCACGGCCTGGCACCAGGGCAGGGGGAAGCACCTTAAGGTCTCCCATCAAGCCTCACCGGGTGGGGGCCACGGCCTCAGGTCCCCTGGCTTGGCACCAGTGCTGGGGGTGTGGCCTCAGGTCCCCCAACCTGGTGCTGGGGTGGGGGACAAAGCCTCAGACCCCTGGCCCTGTCAAGCCCCATGGGGGCAGGGGCAGGAGTGCAGCCTCAGGTCCCTGCTGATTGCTCCTTAAGGCTTGTTACAGGAACTCAGCCTCTGCTGTGGGTGCAGCCATCTTGTGTTACAGAAACCCCTGCCTCCACTGTAGGCACCGCCACGTTTGTGGCGGAGTGATGGTCAATTTGCATATTATACAGGATGGGCACTTGGGCTCTTTCCAGATCTTAGCCTTTGTAAATTGAGCTGCTCTGAACATAGGAGTGTGTAAACATTCAAGCACAAGCAATGTGATGAAGAACCAAAGCAGGTTCAAAGAATGTTCTTTGAGCTGTGTTTAACTTTGACATCTTGGTCAGGACAAGTGGCTCTTGTGCAAATTACCCTCTATTTCCCTATTGAGAATAAAAAAGTGTTATCTGTTTTATCATTTAAAAAAAATAAATATGCTTTTATTGATTTCAGGGAGAGGAAGATATAGAAACATGAATGATGAGAGAGAATCATTGATCACAACCTGGTCATGTGCCCTGACCAGGATTTGAACCAGCGACCTCTTGGTGCATGGATGGTGTTCCAACCAACTGAACCACCTGGCCAGGATTCCCGAATGTTTTTAGAAGTGAAATAAATGAGCAGCCTAGTATAGCCTTACTTGATCTGCATAAGTGGAAGAATTCTATGTTAAGTAAACAAAAAGCTAACTTGAATTTAAAAGTACAGCGCTCCTAATCAATTTCCAGGTTTGAGCCAGTTTTACAGATGAAGAAACCCTCAAATGAAGGAGATACTGGGTCACCTTGACAGAGGACCCCACTACTCTACCCCTCAAAATACATACTGTAAATATTTATCCTAGGCCGGTGGTTGGCAAACTGCAGCTCGCGAGCCACATGCGGCTCTTTGGCCCCTTGAGTGTGGCTCTTCCACAAAATACCACAGCCTGGGGGAGCCTATTTTGAGGAAGTAATGTTAGAAGAAGTTTAAGTTTAGACAATTTGGCTCTCAAAAGAAATTTCAATCGTTGTACCGTTGATATTTGGCTCTGTTGACTAAAGGGTTTGCCGACCACTGGTAGTGTTTCCCAAAGGAAAAAAAAAATCGCCTTACCAGGGAAACTTGTACTGTGGAAAAGGAAATAATTAGACTTTTCGGGGATTTCTGAACACTAATTCTGAACCAACACTATTTCCATGAAACTCAAAATGTTGCCACACTCTATAGCATTTTAGCTCAGGTCCGTCTTATAGTGGCAGGGATGGGGAACCCTTTTTCTGCCAAGAGCCATTTGGATATTTATAGCATCATTCGAGGGCCATATAAAATTATCAACTTAAAAATTAGCCACTAGCAGCAAAAAAGCATGATGCCTTACCCTTTGAGACAGCATGGAGGGACCTGGAGAGTAGCATGCTAAGCGAAATAAGCCCGTCAGAGAAAGACAAGTATCACATGATCTCACTCATGTGTGGAATCTAATGAACAAAATAAACTGATGAACAAAGTATATCCAGAGACATAGAAGCATGGAACAGACTGCGGAATCTCAGAAGAAAGGTGAAGGTGGGTGGGTAGGCGGGAAGAGATCAACCAAAGAACTTGTATGTACACATGCATAACCCATGGACACAGACAAAAGGGTGGTGAAGACCTGGAGGGGGGGCGGGCAGGGGCCAGCTAGAAGGGGTCAATCGGGGAAAAGGGGATATATGTAATACTTTCAACAATAGAGGTTTAATTTTTTAAAAATTAGCCTGCTATATTTGGTCAAACATTTAATTAAATCACCCCTAATGCCTTGGCAGGCCAGAATAAATGATTTCACAGGCCTTATATGGCCCACGGGTGAGACATTCCCCACCTAATAGTGGACTCAATTGGTCCTGGATCCCATCCTGGGTTTTCCCCCAGGTCCAGATCACATGATTATAATAGATACCAGAGGCCCAGTGCACGAATTTGTGCACCAGTGGGGGTCCCTCAGCCTGGCTTGTGGGATTGGGCTTAAACCAGCTTTCTGACATCCCCTGAGGGGTCCTGGATTTTAAGAAGGCTCAGGCCAGGCTGAGGGACCCCACCGGTGTACAGTAGGGGCAAGGAAAAGACACAGGAGGTTGGGAGGCCAGCCTGGGAGGGATTGCAGGAGGGCTCCAGGGCGTGTCCAGCCCATCTCACTCAGTCCCAATCGGCAGCAAGCTAACCTTCCAATCAGAGCATCTACCGCCTGGTGGTCAATGCACATCATAGTAACTGGTTGACCGGTTGACTGCCTGCCCCTGATGGTCAGTGCACGCCCTAGTGAGTGGTTGAGTGGCCTTAGCACATCTTAGCATATTATGCTTTGATTAGTTGAACAGCCAACCAGATGACCGGGCACTTAGCATATTAGGCTTTTATTAAATAGGATACTCCATACCTGAAAGAATCCCCACATTGTTCTTCTCACTTGTGCAAAGAGATGGTATCATGGTGAGAAATGCCACTTAGAAGCCACTGGATTGCTTCTACCTAGGAAAAAAAGTAAACCAAAAGCATAGTGCATTCTGGGTATTGCTGAGATTAGTGCCACCATCAAGGAATTGAAAGATGCTCAGCGGTGGTACACACAACACATTCGCTCATCTTGCCTAGTTGGCCCAGGCAGAAAACATATGAACCTTGGAAAATGACAGTGGAATCCTGTAATCTCAACAAGGTGCTGATGTGCAGGTGCGGCCGGGGCAGCTCCAGGCGAGGGCCGGGCCTGGGGGCTGGGAGGGTGGGGGGGGGGGGCCGGGAGGATGACTCTGGAGTCCATGATGGCGTGTTGCCTCAGTGATGAGGGAAAGGAGTCCAAGAGGATCCATGCGCCCAGATAGAGAAGCAGCTGCGGTGGGGATAAGCGCGATGCCCGGCGCAGGTGAGAGCGAGAAGCGCACGTTCATTAAGCAGATGGACATCATCCTGGGGGGCTGGCTACTTGGAGGAGGACAAGCGGGGCTTCACTAAGCTGGTCTTCCAGAACATCTTCACTGCCATGCAGGCCGTGATCCGGGCCATGGAGACTCCGAAGATCCTGTACAAGTACAAGCAAAACGAGGCCAATGCGCTCCTGATCCGGGAAGTGGACGTGGAAAAGGTGATGACATTTAAGCACCGATACCTCAACGCCGTCAAGACCCTGTGGAATGACCCTGACATCCAGGAGTGCTATGCCCGGAGGCGGGGGGAGTACCAGCTCTCCGACTCCGCCAAATACTACCTGACCCATGTGGATCGCATTGCCGTCTCGGGCTACCTGCCCACCCAGCAGGACGTGCTGCATGACCGTGTACCCACCACCGGCATCACCGAGTACTCTTTTGACCTGAGAACATCATCTTCAGGATGGTGGGTGTGGGAGGACAGAGGTCCAAGAGGAGGAAGTGGATTCACTGCTTTGAGAATGTGACATCCATCGTGTTCCTCGAGGCCCTTAGTGAATCCGACCAAGTTCTGGTGGAGTCAGACAAGGAGAACCGCATGGAGGAGAGCAAAGCCCTGTTCTGGACCATCATCACCTACCCCTGGTTCCAGAACTCATCAGTCATCCTCTTCCTCAATAAGAAGGACCTGCTGGAGGACAAGATCCTGTTCTCCCACCCCGTGGACTACTTCCCTGAGTTTGAGGAAGGGAGAGAGAGAGATATAGAGATGGAAACTTCAATGATGAGAATAACTGATCGGCTGCCTCCAGCACGGCCCCCACTGAGGATCAAGCCCGCAACCTGGGCATGTGCCCTGACCAGGATTCGAACTCAGGATCTTTCAGTCCATAAGGCCGACGCTCTATCCACTGAGCCAAACCGGCCAGGGCTACTTCCCTGAGTTTGCTGGGCCTCGGCGGGATGCGCAGGATACCTGGGAGTTCATCCTGAAGATGTTTGTGGACCTGAACCCTGGCAGTGACATTATCTACTCGCACTTCACTTGCGCCACTGACACGGAGAACACCTGCTTTGTCTCAGCGGCCGTCAAGGACATCATCCTGCAGCTCAACCTGAAGGAGTACAACCTGGTGTGACCTGTGCAGCCCGTGGGACTGATCTCCTGCGTGATGATGTGACTGTGGCTTTGATCGCAGAGGAGCTGATTTTTTTTTTTCATATTTTTATTTTTATTTTTTTTAAATATATTTTATTGATTTTTTACAGAGAGGAAGAGAGAGGGATAGAGAGTCAGAAATATTGATGAGAATCATCAATCAGCTGCCTCTTGCACACCCCCTACTGAGGATGTGCCCGCAACCAAGGTACATGCCCTTGACCAGAATCGAACCCGGGACCTTTCAGTCCACAGACCGACGCTCTATCCACTGAGCCAAACCGATTTTGGCTTTTTTCATATTTTTAACAAACAGTCTCTTTATTTCACAGTTCTCAGGAGATGTACATCTTTCTTTCTATATACTTCGTGCACCTTCTCACCTTTTTAAAAAATATATATTTTATTGATTTTTTACAGAGAGGAGGAGAGAGGGATAGAGAGTTAGAAATATCGATGAGAGAGAATCATTGATCAGCTGCCTCTTGCACACCCCCTACTGGGGATGTGCCCGCAGCCAAGGTACATGCCCCTGACCAGAATCGAACCCGGGATCTTTTCAGTCCACAGGCCAATGCTCTATCCACTGAGCCAAACTGGTTTCGGCACCTTCTCACCTTTTGTCAGCGGCACAGGCTGCCTTTTTCTGGCCTTGACTGTGGCTCGCCTTTTTCTAGAAAAAAAAAGAAAAATGAGACAAGCAGAGTTGAGACAAGTGCCCTGTTTCCAGCGCCACCAGGCTTTCTTAGGCCCCCCCGGATCCCAACCCTCGGGGTTGCACCTTCGGCCACCGTGGGACGGACCGCCCAGCTGGCCCCGGTTCCGTGATGTGGAGATGTGGGGATGTGGAGACTGTACTGTTCTTTCTTCCTTTTTTTTAAGTTATTGCCATCTTCACGACTATGCTGTGTTTTTGCTCACTGGACTCCAAGAAGCAGGGGTGGGTGGCTCCCCCTGTTGTCCACCATGGGAAGTGCCTAACCATTTTTTATTCTATTTTAAAGGAAAAACAAAAAGTATAAAGGCTCCTCTGCAGTAAAGATATCTCTGGACCCTGTCTCGGTCTCCGTGGTTGCCTGGTCCTGGGCTCGGGGGTCCTCTGAGCTGTGTCTCCAGGGCCATCTGGTCTGCTTCGAGCTCCCCGTGTACCCGAGGGTCATGTGCTCGCCACCCAGGCTGGAGAGCGCCCGGGGAGTCCACGTGGCCTGGGAGTCAGGAGAGAGCCCGCTTGGATGAGTCACTTTTGCTTTCATTCCATTTTGTAGCCAGTTTGGAAACAGTGATGACTGTGGGCTGGGGACTTTTTCAGAATATTCTCAGGTCTGTTCCCACAAAGCAGAGAGAGGTTGAGGGAGAGTCCTGTGGTGGTTCCCAGGCGTGGTGGCCGCCATTGCACACACTTTGCCCAGAGCTGCTGAGGGTCACGTGGGAGCCAGCAGCTAGCACCTTGGCCCTGGGCAGCCTCCAGGCATGGCCATGCACCAAGCCAGAGCCAGGGGCTGCTGGGCCCAGGTCCCCCTCCCAGAGCGGCTCTGAGGGAGGGCACAGCAGGGGGCTGGTCTTTTGAGGAGAGGGAGTTGGCTTTTCATCTGATGTAGACTGAACACCACAGTGTTTCTTTTGTTTTGCACAGTGAAGGGGAAGGGACCGCCCACTAAACCTGGACCCTAAAGTAGCAGTCTGTGTGGCTGCTCCTTTTGGGGACCATTAACAAATGCAAAAGAAACAACACAAAAATCGAACCCACCCGGACAGCCAGTCCTGGGTGGCTGGCCTCTACTTCCTCCTCTCCCCATCCCACCAGCAGGACAAAGCCAGGAGAGCCTCAGGGCGATGGGGAGCCAAAGACAGGCAGAAGTGGGGGTGGCTACATTCCTGGTAATCGGCTCTATCTGGGGGCAGAATGAGCTGGGGATCCCTGGCTTCTCAGCCAATTTCCCAAAAAGGGTCCTTTTTGTGCCATGTCTATCTGAGAGGGTTGAACATAACCTCATTCTCGCCCTCAGTGGGGGAAAGCAGGTGGTGCTGCTGGCGGTGGGCCATCCGTGTGAGGACTTGAGGTCCCTGTAGGGCAGGCATCTTGATGTCCTAGCACTTCTCAAGGGTCCAGATCACAAAAAAGGAACTGGATTGAGCTCTTGAGAGGTGGCATGAGCACGTGGGGGAGGCACCAGGAGAATTAACTCCTCTTAGGAGGCAGTGTGCCAAGGATCCCACAGCCCAAGGCTGGCTAAAGCCCCCAAACCCGCTTCCCCCCTTTAACTGGGCCTTCTGGAACTCCATGGGCCTGGCCCCACTCCAGGAGCTGAGGGCAGGGCCATCCAGTGTCCCGGGGGGAATCCAAGACCAGTTTTGTGCCAGTGCCAGCCGGGGCCAGAGGTCCCGGTCCCATGCAATGTTGGTTAGTGTCTTTGATTTTCAACCTGATGAACTCCTCCTAATGCTTTCTCTCACGTGCCAACCTCCCAGCTCCTCCCACTGTGTCGGATCACCCTGCAGTATAGCCATTCCCGGCATCCAACCCCTTGAGAGATCTAAGACAGCTTAGTGTCAATGCCCCTGATGGCAGTGCAGGGACTTGCGGCTGGTGGGGTGAACACTGTCGGGTTATACTTGAATATTACACAGTCCTGATTTCAGATGATTTAAACCTTAACCTATTTTTTAAAAATATTATATTAAATGCTGTTTTAAAACCTTAAAAAACAGCCGAAACCGGTTTGGCTCAGCGGTACAGCGTCGGTCTGCGGACTGAAAGGTCCCAGGTTCGATTTTGGTCAAGAGCATGTACATTGGTTGCGGGCACATCCCCGGTAGGGGGTGTGCAAGAGGCAGCTGGTCGATGTTTCTCTCTCATCGATGTTTCTAGCTCTCTATATCTCTCCCTTCCTCTCTGTAAGAAAAATCAATATATATTAAAAAACAAACAAGCAAAACAAAAAAACCAAGGTGCTGATGCCTACTGCAGCTGCTGCACCAGGTTTGAGCAAATGAACGCATCTTCGCATCTCCTGGTATCTGGTATGCAGCTGTTGATCTTTTCAATGCCTTTCCCGGCCTGGCCGGTGTGGCTCAGCAGTTGAGCGTCAACCTATGAACCAGGGGGTCACAGTTCAATTCCAGTCCGGGCACAAGCCCCAGTGTGGGGTGTGCAGGAGGCAGCCAATCAATGATTCTCTCTCATTCAGACTCTAGGTCCCTGGGAAGAGACCTGTTGCCTAAGAGACTGGATCCTGTGGTAGCAGGATGGCCAGTGTGCCTCCAGGCAGTGGTCACCACAGCATTGCTGGTGAAGGAGGCAGATAAGCAGACTCTGGGGCAGGAGCTACACTGGCCGTCAGCCCTGCAGGCCTGCTTCCGGATGATGGTCCAGAGGAGCCCATTTGTGGCTGCATGGAAGTGACGCAGTGCTGCCATCATCAGAGGCAGTGGTAGTCACCCTGGACCACACCATTTGGGCACCGTTCCTGAACTTTTGGCCTTAATCCAGGCTAGGGGTGTCGAACTCAATCAGAGAAGGGGCCAAAATCTAAAATCCAGCCTAAATCGCGGGCTGAATGGTTTACTGAACAGTCATAAACTGTCATTGTGATGGAAACGCAGCGGAGTGCAGTGATGACAGTGCGGTGCGGGCCACATTGCAAGGCCTGGTGGGACGGATTTGGCCCGCGGGCCTTGTGTTTGACACATGTGATCCAGGCCCTTTGATGGAGACACTGTGCCATCCACAGAGAAAAGAGGGTTACCAACTGCAGCCGAAAGGAACTGGCTGAACAGAAGCAAGCCACCAAAAGACCAGATGGTTGATTGGTGGACCCCTCAGATGACAGACTGTTGGTCCCAGAGGCTCTAGGTCAGAGTTGCCCAGTGACACCAGGTTACCTAATTAAGTGTCACCAAGACTTCTGAGCTTCTTTGAGGCAGAGTTGCTAGAAGTACTGTCTGTGCACAGGCTCTGCAGTTTGCTTGTTCCAGATGCACTGCCAGTGCCCACCACAGACCCTGTAGCCCAGGAACTCAGTGTGGATAAAGAAATTCACTGCCCAAGGACTCAAAGGGACGCTACACTGTTATCCTGAGCACACCCACGGCTGTTGAAACGGCACCCAGACCTGACTACATGACTCCCAGCTCCTGCATGACCTGGATCCTGGCAACTAGCAACCTCATCTGTGAGATCCCCAGCCTGGGTTCCAAGCAGGCCAGGAGGAGAACTGATGCCTGCAGGAGGGGAACTAGACTTCAGTGAGGACAGTAATGATGGGAACTGTGGTACTAAGCGTCTTGGTAACTGTATTTGTTGTTTATGCTGAAAGGAAGTAGGCTGAATCAATGATTTGACTCATGCACATAAGACAAGTGGGGAATGAGAGGGCAGGGCGGAGCTATCCTCCATTTTGTGTAACTGGACCCTACCCCCCCCCCCCCAACCAATCAGGGTCAGCCAAAGCAGTGACATCACCACCCGTATAAAACCCCTTGACCTGTCGAAGTTCGGTCTCTCGTTCGCCATGCTGTCTGCCTGAGTGGGACAGAGCCCATGTTAACATGGAAGAGGCTCTCTTGTTAATTGCATCGGACTCGGCTCCCTGCTGATCCTTGGGGATCACAGAATCTCGGTACAACAGTGGGTCAGAACCAGAATTCATATTCAGATCTTTCTGACTTCAAATTCCATAGTTTGAGTCATGGGTAAAAAATGAGAGAAAATGAGAGAAATATGGCAATATGGAGAAATACAATAGAAAATTTAAAGTGTTTTCTGTATAATTAAGGTGACCATAAAATATGTCATCTAAACCAGATAACTTTGACAGTGAAAACAGCCCCTACTAGAACAGGTGTTGGGATAATAAAAGTAAGTTAAATCTAAAAGAGAGAGAGAGAGAGAGAGAGAGAGAGAGAGAGAGGGAGGGAGAGAAACATGCAAATTGACCATACCTTGCTATGCCCACAAGCCACGCCCACCAGCCCATCAGGGCGAGTATGCAAATTAAGCCAATCAATATGGCGGTTAATTTGCATATCCAGGCCAGAGCAAAGACTGAAGGCAGTGTAGAAAGAAGCCAAGCACTGCAGAAGGGAGCGAAGCTGCAGAGAAGCAAGCAAACAGGGTGGGGGAGAAGGGAGGGAAGCAGGTGGGCCAGGGGAGAAGGAAAAAAAGCAGGTGGGGCAGCGACAGCAGCAGGAAGCCCTATTGCAGGAATCTTTCTGCAACAGGCCTCTAGTGTCTTAATAAAAATAAATCCCTGCCTCTATGAGTTTGACAATTATAATTTTATATAAATGAAATCATACAGTATTTGTTATCCTGTGACTGACCCGTTTCACTAAGCATTATGTCCTCAAGGCCATCCATGGCAATCAGCAAAAAACGTTTTCTTGTGTTTTAAGGCTTTATTCCACTGTATGCATATACCACATTTTCTTTTCTTTTTTTCTTTCTTTTTTTTTTTTTTTTTTTACAGAGAGAAAAGGAGAGGGATAGAGAGTTAGAAACATCAATGAGAGAAAAACATTCATTAGCTGCCTCCTGCACACACCCCACTGGGGATGTGCCCGCAACTAAGGTACATGTCCTTGACCAGAATCAAACCCAGGACCCTTTAAACAGCAGGCCGACGCTCTATCCACTGAGCCAGACCAGCTATGGCCCACATTTTCTTTATTAGTTCATCTATTGATGGACATTTAAGTTGCTTTCACATCTTTAGCTATTGTCA